TAAAGAATAATCTTGAGTCTAAAGGAAAAATTCATATAAGTACAGTTTGTTCCAAGAAGCAGGTTTAACATCAACTTGTTGTAGTTTTCTGCTCATTTCTTCACCTTATTCTCACAGACTAATTTTAATTTTACTTTTTTATTTGGTAGCAAAAGATGGGAGCAAAAACATTCTAGTAACTAGACACATTTGAACAAATATGGAAGGGACTGTGTGAAATAACCCTTATCTGCAGGGGAAAAAAGTTCTGCCTTTGTCGTGCTTGCCGGATTACATTCCAAGAAAATGAATGTGAACAACCACTTATGATACGTTTAAATGGAGAAGAGTGATATTAAACAGAGAGTACTTTGAGGATGAGTTTGATCCAATGTTTATCTGAAGAGCTGTCTGAAGGAAATGTCAACAATGGCTTATTTCTTAAGACTGTATTCAAAAGCAAATTACACCTTTTACATAATAGAATAAGACTTATCCCTTGCCACTCCCAATACATTTGGTTTACTGCATTTCAAGTGTACCCCTGTACAGTTCTATTTTTCCAGCATACATCACCTCTTCACCCCATTCAGTGTAGCAAAATAAATGGTTTCCAATGGCAATAGAAATTGCTTTTCCAGCTACTAATTACTTTGACTCCAGGCAAATTTTAAGCACAGATTCTCAGGCATTGACCTTGTTTTTGACTAGGAATGCTTGCTCCAAATGTCAGTCTAGTCAAAGGGAGAGTATGGAGTTCAAACTGGCTTTCAAAATGAGACCCTCAAACTGCAATGATTGGAAAAGAGAAAACTGTGCATATTTTTCTCAGATCTTCCAAAAAGACAAGGGAAGGCTTTCATATGAGAAATGAGGCAAACAGGCAGCTCTTTGTCTCTTTCGGCAGCCAGCCAACCTCTCCCTGGTTTCTCCAACCATTTCCCATTAGTTGTGGTGTCAAGTGGTTAAGCAAGAAAAGGCTGAGACAAAATGCCAGTGGTGCCTGAGCTGAGTGGCCCGTCTGCATGCCAATCATCACCACCCAAAAGCCAAAGAGAGGTAGAAATTTTCCTCTCTGCATCTTCCTGTGTGCATCAGTTTCCATGGAGGTGGACAATGAGGTGAACTAAAAAGGATCTCTAACAGACCTGAGAAATTGGGGGACTAAACTAGAGGACTTCTCTCTGATGTACTACCTTGTTTCAGAGAGAAGCACAGTCAGAGTTCTCAGCTACATTATTGACTTCGTGTCTGTCTGCAAAGTTGGTTTAAAAAATGAATGGTGGTTTAGTTTTAAGGAAAATTTAAGCACAGCTCATATGACAGAGTTGGAAATAAAATATCTGTAAGGTTAACTGAAAGAATTAGATCAGTAGTCAACTATAGCACACCGTTCATGCCTGTTGCAGCAATCCATAAAGTTGAAGTAGCTTCAGGCTTTAAACAGCAGGTCCTCAGTACAAGGAGTTTCAAGTCACTGGTTCCCTCATTCCTGCTCAGTCCTAGCTCTCTGCCTTGCAGTGTTAACTTGTCTGTTCATGGGGCCACAGTGCAGCCAGTACTACAGAACTGATAAGGCTTTTTGAAAAAAAGCCCTCATGGTGGTTGAAAAAGGTTTCTTTTCAATCTATATTTGTTCAGAGTAGAGGCCCACAAATGATTCAATGCAAGGAAGAGTTGGAGAGTGGGGGAACATAACGATAATAATAACTCCTGAAAAAGCCAAGCAAGGCAGAGTTACAACCCAACACTTGCAATGATTTTTGAATGGCCTATGTAAAATACGTAGTGAGTGAAGATGACCATTGTTTTATGAGAAATATCATTCATTTGTAGTTTACATTCCATATTGAAGTGATTGCAGAAACTTCCACCATAAAATTACTAGAGCTACACTGACATTAGTCCTTGTTGCCTCTCCAATTCTAGAAAAAATAATTTACTTTTAGTGGTCACTTGTACACCTGGAGGCATTACCTAGATTAAATCGTGATGTTAAATGTCAAAGAAACAAAGCTAACAAGAATCTCTCGAACTTTTTTTTTTTTATTTTAAATATGGAAGTCTTGAGTAAGGATTCAAAAACACACCTTTAGATCAACCTCCCAGAATTTTAATAATCCACTGAAAATACAGAAAATTATTAAATGCATAAGGAAAGATTCAAACAAGAAGCCTTTTACTGTGAAACTACTGACACATGGTAGGGTTTTCTTCCACTGGACCAAAAGGAGATCTATAAATTTATCTACTGATGGAACTACAAAAGCAATTAAACAACCAGTCTTTTTATGCATCTTCTTTTCTCCACATCTAGCTTTGGAAGAGAGGAATCTCCCCCTTCTTGGAAATCCTTCATAGAAATCAAAGATCACATTTCAGAAGAGTATGCTTAATGCATGAAAATCAACTAAAGATAATGAATATATATGGTCAGAACTATTGGAAGCATGGAAAGGAGGACTATTTTCAATGAGAGATCAACATCCTACATCAACAAAAACTACAAAGAACAGTATTCAATAATTTTTTTTCTATTTTGAAATAATAACTATGAATGTAATACACTGAGTAGATCAGCATATCTGGAATGTTTACAAGTAAACAGATATTATATCAAAATTAAAATAATGGTAAAAACCCCAAAACCAAAACCAAAAAATATAAACAACAACAACAACAAAAAAACCAAACAAAAACAAACAAAAAAAGCAACCCAAACCCCTCTTTTGCTTATTTACCCAATTCCTTTTCTTTAGGACTCATGCGTAGGGTTTTTTAACAGTGTTTTTAAAAAAGTACCTGTTACTACAAGGGATAACCTGTGCCATAATCTTTGGAAAGTGCTGAGAACATCAGACTTTGTTGCATTTCAAAGAAATACCTTTTTTACTTTGTATTTTTCTATCCCGTGATAAATACCATCTGCTGCACTGTAATAAAATATTTGTGTGATGTTATTTAATTGGAAAACCTATTCCTCGTCATGACCAGACCATGCAAATAGGTGATAGAATCATAGGGTTCCCAGAACCAGAATTTAATGTTCTTTCACTGAAGTCCAGAGTTATATTACTGTAAATATGCCATGAAGGAGGCCTCAGGTATTAACAACATACCACCTATCTAGTCCACATTAATAATGGCAGAAGCAGGGACACTACTTATATCATTCATAATTTCTCCTTCTTCACATTCAGGTCTTCTCTCATTTACTTCTCTTGTACTGACCATAGCATCTATGTCCCACTCTAACCCTTGTTTCCTTATTCCCTTCTTTCCAACGCACAGTACAAACTTCCTCTTCCATTAAGACTAACGTGCCATATGTTACTATCTTCTCCAAAGAGTGTCCACAGAAAGTGGTGAAAGTATGGATTTTCACTCTGTGAAGAATCAGACCTTGATATTTCCTTGATATTTCAGCTTGAGAATTCCCACAGTGAATATAAAAACATCCCCTCTCAATAAGGATAGGTGTAAAAGTAGTACATAGACAAAACTAGGTGAGTCATCAAAAGCAACCAGTATATAAAATCTTTTGGTAATGTGACGTGTCAGTGGCATTATTTTTGACCAAGATGTTATTCATACATATTTGTGAAGGCAAAGCTGCACACCTAGCTATGCCAAAGGCATCAGCTGGTACAGAATGCCTTCACTAGATGATATAATGCAGAGTCATTTATATACTGAAGTTTTAGATTAAACTGCTAATATATTCAAGCATCCCCATACAAAAGAGGCTGAAGTTATTTACCAGCTTTCACTATCGTGATGGAAACATGATTGCATCAATCTGCATGCAAGACTAGCATTGGACCAGTATCTCCCCAAAAAGGGCTTTGAATAGTACAAAGTCAGCCAGAGAAGCATACTCAGTGCGTAGGAAGGGCAATCTGCTCTCTATTGGCTGTAATAAAGCCAGCAGCATCTGCTGCTGTTCAGCCAACGTTGCCACCACTACTTATTCTCTTAACATTTTTCATTTCCAGATTATATTCTGAGCCTTCCATTCAGAAGCTGCCTGTTTGAACAGAGGCAACGTGGTGAAGTCCTAAAACTCATCACAGAACCTAATTCCGTAAAACTCATTAAATGGTAGTGTCATTAGATAAGAGCTGATGAAACCTGCTCTTAAGGCACTATGAAATTCTAGTCACTTATAGCAAGATGAACCCACTCAACTCTACCAGTACAAGAAATAACAAATTCAAGTAAGCTTTCCCATAGCATTTCCCCTTAATCATGTTCTTTACAAACACTGGCAAAAGGCTTAAGCTCTATCTCTAATAAATAAAAAGGGGAAAGAAATCCAGCCCACGGTTCTGATTTTTTGGACACCTGATAAAAGCAATTTAGCATGCATGGAGCATAACTGTGTAAAGAAGATGCAAGGAGACTTCCCCTGCTCTCTCCCTAAACCAATGGCAGATGTGGAGCAAAAGTGGGTTATACACCTTATGGAGTGCTATAAAAAGGATGTAAACAGCTCTGATCTCGAGGAGATAGGACAACTTGCATTCAGGTATTAGCTACAATTGCATGTTTTCTAGTATCCATGCCTCCGTAGCTCAGATATTACGCAGGAACACATTCTGACTCAGCTATAGTTTCAAATTATGATTTAACACTCATCTGCACTATGAAAACCAGATGCTTTCTCACTACTCATTGATCTTAATGTCGTCAAAATTATTATTCTACATGAATACACTGATTGATAGATAAAGAAAAATAAATAAACATCTACTAAATTAAATTAAGGTCACTTAGGAGACTTCAGAGCAAGCACTTAAACCAGTAAGTAGCCTAGAGCACATGCAATCCTGTGTTTCAAACTTTGTTTTCAGCCAGTGACAACATGATGCTACTTCAGACCCACCGAGAATGTGAAGTTATTATTAAGTAAAGTCTATACTGCTGACAACTGACTGGCAAAAACCCAACAACATCATCCATCTATTAGCATCAAAATAGTTCAAAGGCATTCTTATATGCTAATATATATAACCTCTTACCTTCAGTATGTACAGCAGAAACATAGGTCCAGTTATAGCGTTTGACAATGTCCACCATAGCCTTTGCTTGCTGTGCATCAGATGGCACAACTCTCATAAAATACTTGAACAGAGTTTTATCGCTTAGGTCCATGCTTGTGGCAGAATAAGCAATCTGAGGTATATTGAAAAGCTGCAACAAGTTCTGGACCTGGATAGCAACAGAGCTAGAGCCAGGTCCAATGACACCAACAATGGGTTTCTTGGAGTGGAAAGATGATGAGGTTCCATCCACACATCGCACCATCCCTTCCTCTTCTTCAGACGAAATAAGAGAGTCTCTTATAAACTCAATGCTCTGCTCCAGAGCCACAGCAGAATGCCAGCAGGAGTCCCTTATTTCACATCCTAGAGTTATATTTGGCAACAGTGTGGGGTCCAAATTAATTCTGTCGAGGGTATGTAGCATTGCCTCCACTCTTTGAATGCCATACTGTTCTCTTACCTCTCCACATTTCCTCTCATGAACCTTGTCAACAGTTGGTTGATGATGGACAGAGAATAGAGCTCCAATGATAATATCACCAGGCATGTGTGCAACCACCCTTCTTTCATTTGCCTGTGCTGAAACCAAAAGCCCAAAGTTCCCACAGACATCTTCCTTCAACAGCAGGATTGCAATGAACAGCAAAAGGACCATTTTAGGAAATGGTTTAGGCTGGTAGAGACAGCATGGTGGAACAAAGTTGGAGAGCTGGTGAAAAGCAATTATTAAATCTTTTGGATAAAAAAAGCACTATGCTGATGCTCAGTCAAGAGTTTGCTTGTATTCTCTAAGGAGTCACCATCATCAAGTAGATAGCTATGCAGAGCTGCACATGTGGTCATAATCCTCATAACCTTCACAAAGGAATAAATAAGAGAAAGAGCTTTAAAATTATTTATAAAGTCAGCTTTATAATGTCTTCTAAGATCGCACCTATTCATACTGCTGTCAATGACTGTAATACATTGTCACCTATGTACGCTTGCTTTCATCATTTTCAAGCTGGAAAACTTTATCATACTTCATTGTTTCACAATCCTAGGTTTGTACTACTGCTGGTATAAACCAACATCTTTCTCTTTGACAATTTCATTTTAAGAATTCTTTGGGGAAATGTTTTCAAAAGCGCTAAAGACAGGTAAGTATTTAATTCCACAGAAGAAAGATGTTGCCATTTCTAAAATGTGTCTTCAAAAACTACTGCCTTTAATTTCAGACACTTTCTACATCTCAAATACATATGTCTCACTAATAATATACCTTGGGCTGTACTCTATTATCATCTACAACACTAGGAAATGGCTGTTGACACATAAAGCTGTTCCTCTAAGGAACACAGAATCTGTAAATCTATTTTTTTCTTTGCAAGATAAAACATGAAATAAATAACGTTTAAAATAAGATTAAGAAAACTGATTTTGATATTAATATTTATATTTGTATTAAGCAAAGAAACAGTAATTAGAAAACAGCAGAGTAGTGAAATAATTTTAATCTTTTTATATCATTATTTCAAAAATTGACAAAAAACAATTTGAAAATCCTTGTAGACAATAGACTTCACTGGTAGATAGAACTCAACACAGAGACTATACAGATGCACTAGTGCCTAAAATATTTGATCGATTACGTTTACCAACAGTCTGCAATGCAATCTGCACCCATCCTAAGTGTTGCTGAAGGATAAAAAAAAAAAAAGAACGAACAGCTAATACTTCACATCTTGGGCTGGGCTGTGATTAATGGAAATTGAAAATGTTCTGCACCTAGAAGTGGATTTGCAGAAGAATGCTTCTGAATTTAAATATAGTATCTAAATAGTGGTTTGTCCAGGTCTTGACTCCTGAGCACATTAAAGTACTATCCACATCTACCAGTGAATACATTGATAGTACAGAAAGCTAAGCACACTCTTAAATCTAGGAAGATGCTGAGGTATTTAGTGAACCATATGCCTGGTGTCACTATTGACAAAACAGCTGAGAAATTATGGGGCAGAGCCTGACCTCAGTTTTGTCAACATAAATATTTTGCTGCAATAAAAAAATCTCCATAAATTTCAGACACCACCAATCATTTCTAATCTATTACTAATGACTCTGATACCATCTAGATATTGTAAAGTGAAATAAATCCTTGACATAGGAAATCTACCTCTGTTTCTTCCAGGCTGAAAATCTCACAGTATTTTAATCTTGAGTTTACTCCTCACAGCTAGGTCATTCAGTATAGTACCAAGAGAAACTCTTCCTGATTCTGAAGATGAATCATAAAAATCTAAACCCACTTTTTTGCTTGATGTTAGGTTTGTTCAATTATTATTTTACCTAGACATCTATAAACTATAAAGTATTTACCCAGGGGAAATCATGCATAGTTTCAGTGAGTATCCCCAATAAAATCTAAATCCTTAAAAAGAGAAAATATATAATATATTTTTTAAATGTTAATCACAATATTGTTTGGTTCATGTAATATTAATTTTTAGTATTATAAAGTCCTAATAATAAAGTTCAGACAACTGTAAACCACTTCAATAATGTTTGTGTTTTTATAGTCTGTGAAGAGTTGGCTTATCAATACTACAACCCTTTGCCACTAAGTAATAACAACAGTTCAGTTCAGGTTAATTAGTCTCTAATTACAGGCTATCACTATTGCTTATGTCTTGCAATTGTTTGTTCCATGACTCTGAAGTTGGTACCGTATAATTTGAAAACACTCTGAAGGACGAATGACAGGGGATATTAAATATTAAATTCCTATGGTTTTAATTAATTGAATGTATTATCACTTTAAAAATTTTAATTATTTATTAACTTAATAACATTTGGACAGAAATAGTACTCTGTTATTTAAAACCGTGGATCCTCATCTTTCTGAGCTTCTCAAATTAAGGCTGTGTGTCCAGACCACAAGTATATGTGGTAGTCTAGAGAAATGCCAGCTCTGCCTCACACTGCAACTGGATATACAATTAGATGCCTTTTTATAACCTTGCTTCTGTGAATCTGCATATGTACAAAGAGAGAGAGTTTGGAGGGTTGGGATGAGCTTGTGGCCTGAAAAAAATATCCAACCCCCATCCACCATTTTAGTTCTACAACAAACATTGACCAAATTTCTTGGTCTTGTGTCTATGAAGTAAAGAATTTCCATACAGGATATATGGGGAAGAGAGGGCAGTAAGGCCATTTTTATGTTCTTCACTCCAAAGAACAGCTGTTTGCCCTTCTCTGTCTACAGTTGTATCTATCAGTGTAAAATTACAGAGTAAAGAATGAGGTAAAGCTAAAAGTCTCCTTTATATTTCTGGTTCCATACATTAGCATACTATAGCTGGTGGATTCCTATGGCTCAAAAGCAGGTTCTGAAAACAATAAAACCCTTTCACTCCATGACATCCAAGGGAAAAGAAGGAGTCAGATGCAGACTGCAGTTGCTCTACAATTAATGAACTTTCTTCACTGTATTGAAGTGTAATTTAATTTACCTGGGACTTAAACTGTTACTAATTACACTGAGAACACTGTTTATGTTTTATAGTATTAGACTTAGGACTTGCATCCAGCTACCTGAAGTCAATGTGTGTTTTTTGTGGGGTTTCATAATGTAATGAAACAATCTGGAATTTATATTGATGTGGCTAAGTGAGCCTACCAAATTTCACTGGATTTTTATTTGTATAATAGAGATCTGGTTCTGTGGGCTTACTCTTCTGCTCATAAACTCAAAAATCACAGAATGGTTGAGGTGAAAAGGCACTTCAGGAAGTTATCTGGTCCATCCACCCTGCTTACTTAAGTTCAACTGAAGTAGATTTCCTATCTTTATGTCCAGTCAGCTCTTCAATATCTCTCAGGATGAAGACTCCACAACTTTTCTGAGCAACCCGTCTGACCACAGCCAAAGTAAAAAGGACTCCTTTTTTATATATTTAAACAGAATTTCCTGTATTTCAACTTGTTCTTCTTGCCCGTCATTCTTCTGATGGATACAGCTAGCCATGTCGTGTGAAGATACCATGAGAGTAATCAGGTAACAAATCCCCCTTTAGGTCAAAATGACTGAGCAGAGAGCTGATAGACTAAGCACACTAATTACATTTCCTGGAGAACATCTTCCTGAAGAGAATATAGCCATGGGAACTATTCAAATATACAATTTTACTGTGCTTCTTTCCCAAGAGAATCACATAGAAGTCACTTCTCATTTTGATTACCTATCTCTCTTACTACAGGAAACTTATCATTACAAGTAGGATGAGTACTAAAATAAAATTAAGTAAAATTTTATAAGCTTAAATATAACTTCTCTTTAAATTATTAGGGATAACCCTAAAGGAAATTTGACATGCTCTAGACTTCAGACTGAGAACAGAGGTATCGGCAATATCAAGACAGTGAACTGTAATGGGAATTGTTTCCCGATTAATAATTTGTCTTTTACTTGTTTTCATTGATGGACAACATGCACAGCACTTATGGTCAAATTTACTTTTCACGCTGTCAATTTCTTCAGCATCAATGGACTTACCCTAAATTTAGGCAAAATTAAATAAGGCACCTAATTACTGGTGTATCAAGGTTCCTAGTTTATTTCATTTATGAATCTAACTACAAATTAATCCTGAATTCACATGCTTTAACAATAGATGACAGATTTTTTGGTCTCAGTTTTCTGGTGCATTAGCTTCACACTTGGAGAAACTGCAGAAGTAGTAAGACAAAAGAATAACTCTGCCTGTCTTTTGCTCAATCTTACCACAAACAAAAATTCATGAGCTACCCAGATTACTGAAGACACAGATCTGATGAAGGACTCAACATGTTCCTAATAACCTCTGCTCTCCCTGGTAGGAAAAGCTTCATACCAGTCTCTGGAGAAATTCTCAGCTGTACCCTTAGGGCAGACTTCCAGCTACTTCATGTTGGTGTTTAACTGAGTAGAAAATGAGCATCTGTAATATTCCACGAAACATCATGCAAATCTTTCATTATTAAAACAATACAATTTTTTAAAAGTTATTTCAATCTCAAATGCAAGTCCACCTGTACTTGCAGTCTGTACAGACCAAAAGAAACAAAAAGAGGATTAATATGGAAGGACACTAAATAAATGTTGATCAAAAATCGGACTTTGAACAGCAGTTCAGAAAGTGCTGATTTTGGAATATGTACATGGTTGAGAGTTTCTACATGACCAACCTCTGACTGTTCTCAGGGGCTTCTGCTACCGCACGTGTAACTGTGTTTAAACCTGAAGGAGGTCACCCTTTCCCGCTGACTTACATTATTATAGCAGCGCCCACTAGTGACCTCCGACTGAAGCACCTGTCTGCTTTGCAACCTGAATCCTCTTGGCTCTGTAGTTTTCTAATAGGTGAAACACGAATTCAGCGATTTTTCTTTTTATTATTTATTCTTTTCTACGTCATGAAAAAAATAATCAAAAGACAGGAGTAAAAATGTTTTAGTTTATATATCTTCTTTGTTACAGTTTTGTAAGTTTACAGCCTGCTCGTTCATAGTCTCTGAATTTTCAGGCAGATTCAAACATCAAAAATAAAATGTCAGATTACTGAAGCACCAAACAGTGCTGTGATAGAGTGAGAAATCATGTTCCAGTCCAGCAATGTTCATTGCTTATCAGATGAAGAATACTATTGGTCAAATATCTATAAAGACTTATCTAAAGTTTAAGGTTCTCCTTAAAGGATTTTCAGGATCAAAACAATCACAAAGACTAACATCCTTAAAATCCATTCATTTTTAGTGACAAAATTTACTTATATGCTACATTTGTATAACTTACAGCCATGTACCTGCTAATTAAATGCTTTCCGGGCATTCATTTACAGTACAAACCACAACTAATTTAAATCCACCAGATATGAGATAATATACATTGATATGGATCAAATCAATATATCATAAGGAATTAACCTAGGTATTGTCATCAGAGAAGACAAAATCCTTAGCAAGCAGAAACTGAATTACTGGTCCAGAGTCAGTAATGTCACTTATCTTGCAGTGAAGATCTTTCAGTAGCAAAACATGGAACAGTCTTAGAAAAACAATTACATACGGCTAGAGACCTCTCAGCTCATCTCATGTGGGACCAATGCCAGGAAAAAGTGTACACTCAGGATGTTAAGGCTTGCTGAGTTCTGCTGGCTATTGGCATTGCAAACTCTAAACATTGGGTTGAAGATGTTCTGGCAGTCTATCTCCCAATGCTCAGGGGAGGCTGGCTTTGCAGAAGGTCCCCCATACCACTTCCTCGGAGGTAATTTAGTTCAGTTAAACAAAACGTGATGCATTCAAATGGTCTTTATTTGAAAATCATAAAATATGAACACCTTGTTCTGTTTTGCAATTTCTACTGCTGTCAAATTTTTCTATTTATTAAAAAAACACACAAAACCAAACAAACAAACAAAACTAACAAACAAAACACACACACACACACACAATTAAAAAAAAAAAAATTAGTCATTACATTATCAGCTCTATGAATTCCAGTGGACATTGGATCAAGCTCTTTGAGAAAGAAAACTTCCTTATACAACAGGAGACACTATGAAGCAGTTTTCTGTAATTCCACTTAGAAATAGGAAAAAAACCTAAGATGCAAGTAAGAATTTTCACCATTTGGTCGGAACAGCCACTGAAAATAACAGACTAGTGTGCTGATCTCATGTCTTAATAGCTAATAAACAGAGAATGCTATAATTATCAACAAGATCCTTAGCAGTACCAGGATGTTCTTCCCCGTGCTATGCCCACACACATGCACTTTCTGGTTGCTGAAACAATTTTTGGTTTAATATGTAGGTGTTTAAATTCCCAGGGAAACTTGCAACGATCTCTGCAATTCCACCAAATACACTGTTTACTGCTCCTGTTACCAAAAGCCAGTTACACCATATGATGCAGGAACTAATAGCTCAGGTGTGTTTTCATGTGTAATCCTGGACATTTTATTAATTAATAAAACTGTATGGTCTGGAGGAGGTGATCAAGAAAAAAGTAATAGCAGATCCAAGAAACATTTTTCAGCAGGTCGCAACAAGAGTGGTTGTGGTGACATTCCAACACTGCCGCTATGCCAAAACCACCACAGCTGTGTCGGAAAATAAAATGACAAAAAATATATATAGAGACCTTAAAAAGTACTCTTTGAACATTTGAAATAACTACTAATGCTGTGATTGTTTGACATAAAAATTAGGATGTAGTCAAAGTATTTGATAATTCACAAAACATCAGCATGTGATAGAAATATTTAGGAATATAGTTTAAAAAAAAAAAAAAAAAAAAAAAAAAGAAAGAAAGAAAGAAAAAGTCATAGGGAATTTAAAGAGCCTAACAGCCTCTATACGTCTTTCCCGTTCAGAATTTAGAGTGGTGCATTTTCAAGATGTCCCTCTGCCACTTTCAAGATGACCCCCTACTTTGTCCCCAAGACTTAAAAGAAAAGAAGCGTCCTGGCTCCCACTACACCCAGTCACCCCCTCCCCACCACCGGAAATTGTTGCTCAGAAAAGGGATCGGATGGGAGTGGGGCTGCCTGGGTGGCAGAGCCCCAGGGTGCGGGACAGCGCTGCCTGCGGGCAGCGGGCAGCGGCGGGGAAGGGAACGGGCAGCGGGAGGCGGGCAGCGGGCAGCGGACGCTGTCCCTGGTGCTGAGCACCGCCCGCAGCCGGCTTTCGCCTCCGGGCAGGTCTACGGAAGGGGAAGGAGAAAAAACAATCAGCCTAAAAATCAATCAGTGGTAAAAATTGCACAGTGGTCACATTTGGCATGCAGGATCACATTTTTACAAATTAATTAAATAAATTGAGCTGGGTCTTAGAGGAAACTATTGGGTAAGGTTAACTCCCAGCATAGCTACCTGCACTGCCTCAACTAAGTGGCTGGGCACACAGACGTATATCTGTGCAAGCACCATGGTTCTCAGGTCTCTATCTCCTTGTTCGGATAGCGATATCGCTGTCCCTCTCAATCCATAATGAATCATTTTTGTACACGGTGACATTAGCTTCGATTATTAAATAAGGAATAGACAGGGCTCGCTGAGCAGAGCCGAGTGATTTGTCCCAAGGTCACACAGAAAAGTCTATGGCTGAGCTAAGCCTGGCTGTCCCTGGAAAACAAATACATCCCTGTTTCCATTACACCTTCCTAGCAAGACAAATCCCCACTTGTGAACAGAAGGACTATATCACACACATCACCAAGCCCAGGTATTATAGTACCCCAGCCCCCTGCAGCCCCACACGTATGCTGCTCCTGGGAAGGGATCAGTGCCTGTTTCCCTCCAGCACCCCGACACCCTGATGCCCCAGTAACCCCTAGAGAGGTACCACACCGGTTGGCTTGCTGGTCCACCAGGAGTTGTATTGGTCCTTCAGCAACCAGGGCACAGCACAAAAACAAGAGAAAGGGAGGGAGAGGGTGGAAGAGCCTCTCCTGCATCCACAGGATTTCTGTCCATAATCCAGGGCACACAAATACCCTCTCCCGCCCCACATCATTACCTTGTCCGTGGCAGAAAATGCTTCTTCCCACAGTGGTGGCAAACTGGTCCTTTTGATGGCAATAATCGAGCCAGGTAGGGGTAGGCACCTCCTATTTTCAGCCACAGCAGAGAATAGCACTCCTCACACAGACCTTCTGGAGCTGAATAATCCTCAAATGCCTCTGCAAAGATCACCAGCAGGTGAGCCCCACTGGGCTAGCATTGTCACTCCTCCAGCTATAGACACATCCTGTTTTCTTCTGATCACAGGCAAATACTGAGGACCGAGTATCCTACCCCCGCGAATGCATTCACATACACACACGCTATGCAACACGCTGTTCTCTCAGAATCGCCCAAATCTCATTTGCAAGAGGCGTGAACGGTTCCTGGATTTAAAGGAGGGGGAAGGCATGAGGAGGAGGAATAAACAAACGATGAAACAACAGATGGGTCTTTGCTCTCTGGCACCACAGCCTTGGTCTTCCTAAATACTTGCTGCAGCTTGACCCACCTGCTTAAACACCTCCGCCCTTCATCACACATGCACGGTAGCAACCTCTCTGCATTTATAAGGGGCTAGCCCTGCGTTCTGCACCGCTTTAAAGGTTGCAAAGTCCCCCTACAAACCGACACTTCCCTCCTGGCAAGAAAGAAAGCGGCGATCGGTTCAGAGCAGCATCATCCGAATGAGTGAGGGGAAGAAAAAAAAAAAAACACAACACAACAACAACAAAACCACCACACTGGTTAAAACCCGAGTCGTGGGGAAGACTTTACCCCTGCGGTCCCGGCTACCGTTTGCGAACTACCCCCGCCGAAGTTTGCTGTCCCCTGGGTCCCGGACGCTCTGCTGCCGCACCTGCGGGTCTGGGCTGGGGGGCTAGGAGGCTCTTCTTACGGGGGAACACCGGGCTTCAGCGCAACTTTTTAGTGCCACCAAGTGGCATAGATCCCTCCAGGAAACCAAGCAGCCTGCCAGCTCCGGGCTCTGCCTGCTGCTCTCTGGCACGGGGAGAGAGGGGGATGCGAGAGTAGCGACTACCCCACTACACACATACACAGACAGCGATGTCAAGCAGAAAGGAGGAACTGTTTGCCACTGGGAGGACAGGTTGCCCTCTCCAGCTCTCGCCCCTTCCCCTGGCTGCAGGGTGACAGCACCTGGCACGGCAAGACGAGGACTGATGTCCCTGCCAAGGGCAGACGGAGTTGCCAGCCCTGCCGGCGGGTTGTGCCCCCCTGTTCCTGTTCCCTGCGGGCTGCTCCCCGCTCCTCTCCATGGCAGGTGTCACCTGCAGCCACCCCTTCCTGCCAGGCTCCCTCCTCTCCGGCACCCTGGGCTCCCTGGACCCACAGGCGCTGCAGTTCCCAGCCAGCCTCCTGCTTCCGCAGCCAGCATCCCTGGACCGTGTCTGCAGACCTATGGGGAAGCTTCTTATTTGCCTTCTGCCCACAAGTTCGGTACCCTCCGGCCCTTCTGCTTCCCCATCCTCCCACAAACCCCACACCAACTCTCTCCCGTGCTAACTATCTGCTGCCCGCGCATCAACCTTTCCTCAGTTAACCCTTCCCTCCCGAAGTCAACCGAAGCTTTACCTTCTCCTCCGGAATCACTGCATTCTCTCAAATCTTCCCCCTCCCTCTCTCCCCCGTCTCACAGCTCAGCCCCACACACCCGGCTCCTGCTCCCATTCACACCCGGCCGTCCCACTCCTCTCCCGCCGGTTGCACCGCACCGAGCCTTTCCTCTGCCCGGGGTGGGAAGGGACCCCCGGCACAAGGCAGGGCACGACAGCTCTGAGCGTGGGGTGGGGGTGTATGGGTACGCGTGGGTGGATGGGAGGGGTTGGAGGTAGCCTGAGCCCCGACAAACTCAACACTTCCCTGCACTCCTATTGCAACAACAACAAACACCAAGGAACCGTCACAACACAATGCCAGACAGAGACATCTCGTTATTTGAAGCTATTCTTAGCAAATAAATAAATAAAGTAACAATAAATAAATAAATAATAAAACCAAATGTCATTTAAGTAAGAGCTGATCTGGCATTTAAAAGGCTGCTGGGTCCAAGCATTTACCAGACTGTATTTGCAGGGAAGGATTAGCTTGTGCATCCATTTTCGAGAATTAACAGTCTTTCTCTGCCATTGCTCCACAGCTTGACGCTCTCTGCTGGTTCCCCCCTCTCTGGGTTGCTGCTTAAAATATTATCTCTTTTATTTTTTTTTTTTGAGCAACTGCTGAATGACCCAAATCCTGCTACTTGATGTAGCTCCCCCAGTGCAATTGCACTGCCACATCCAACCTGCACCCTATCCTCCTCCACATCCCTGCCCCCTGAGTTAACTTGAATTAACAACCTCAAGTTATTGTGAGGAAGAGGCACTTGTTATGAGTCTTGTTATGGCTCCATCCATGATCCTAATTACTTGTGATTCCTTTATTGCTGTCTCTCTTCCACCAGATCACCAGCTTGACTGCTTCTTTCATCCCCAAGTGTGAAGGATAGAGAACCCACATGTCCTTACCAGGCATGTAGCCTGGCCTCTTTTTCCTTCACATCCTCCTTTAGTACCAGCCTGGGGCTGGCTGGGAGCCCATCAGATGGCACCTGCTTCACATCCTTGCCCAACACTCCTGTTTTCTTCAGTCACTGGCAGAGGCCAGTTTTTGAGCAGAGAACACTGTGAGTGTGTGTGCCTGTGACTGTACCAGTTTGTTTCCTCCATGCAGTTCCAAGAGCTGGTGCTGGTGCTTGAAGGGATGAAGGCAGGTTATTACATGATAGGGGAGATACCACTAGTTACTATTCTTGTCACTGATGTGATGGGGTGATAGGTAAGGACCATCTTTTCTCTTCCTCCCTACACTCATGGTCCTCTGAGACATTGTCTTTCCCGTTAACCATGGACTGAAATTGCTAGAAGGTCAGGAAACTGGAGATGGAGAAGAAGAGGGGACATATATTTGCAGAGAAAGCACAGATTACAGAAGGAGGGGAGGGATGTGTCTGCAGAAGGGAAAAGTGAGACCAAAAGCGAAGTGGTATTACTGTGTGCAGGAGGCTTGAAGAAAGAAATGTTGGAGGAATCAGGGGACAGGGGAGGTGCCATTGCTTTGCTAGGATGTCATAGCAGTTGTCTGTCTTTCCCTGGGATTGTGTGTGATAAGGGAGTCAGAAAGCAGCCACATCTCATTGCCAACAGAGACAACCAACTGGCTGGCAGGATGGTGGGTGACCCACAGCAGATGAGGGTGATGATCTCTGCACAAGCAGGACACATAGATTTGTGTAGAAGCAATGGGGGATGCAAAGCAGCTCCTATACACATATCCCCAAGGACTCCCTGGAAATCACAGCCCAGAGTCAGTGTTCACTGTGCCAGATGTTTGGAGCAGCTGGATCAAAGATTAAAAGAGGCAAATAGAATGGATGGGGGTGGCCATGGCACTTACATTCTTAATGCCTCTTGTTGACTCTTTAAAAAGGGTCCCAATAAACACAGATATATAAAAGGTTCTTTTCTCTTGCTCTCTTCCTCCCCTTTCTCTCCTCAACCATTTCCATCATTTTACAGAACCCATAAAATTAGTCAGTTTTCTCCACTGGTGGTAGATTATTATTCCTCTACCGAGAAATTTCACCTACTATTTTGACACTATTTTTAAAGTTAATAAAATGAAAGCTTCCTCCACTTGTTTTCAATAGCACCAGCAAAAAATAAATAAACCAGTACCTGAATAAGGAGACATAATGACTACATTTTAGAAGCCCACTATTGGTAACATTCATTACTTCTGTGGCAGCAGCACCTATAGATCCTAACACATTGGGCAAGGCTGAACATGTCCTCTATCTCTGCACTGTGAGCAGTTCATGCATAAAGAAAATTGCAGGGTGAGTCTTCAGGTGTGATCAGTGTCTCTAAAGAGAAAGCTAACCACTCTAACACTTTCAGACTGAAAATAAGGAGGCTAAGGGAATACTAAGTTGGATTCTCAGTTAACAGAATGAATAAACCATGTAGAACACAGGTAGCAAAATAAAAGACAAAGTATGGACAAAAAGGTGATGTTGTATTGACCAAGATAAGCCAGGCATCTGCTTTCTTGCAAAATAATCTCTAAGACAAAAACAAAATGAAAAAAAAAAAAAAGATGGATATTATGTGGCTGTGGAGACATTAAGATGAGTCCACTTCTCTGCATAGATTTCAAAGTGAACCTATTCCTCAGAAGGATATCCATATTGTACCAGTGTGCTTTCAAGGAATCTGTGACTAAATTTTGAGTCTTGGTTGTGCATAGGTATAAAGGAGACACTGAAATACCTAACACCTCCAAGACTGTTCTAATCTGTGCAAGGAATCAACCCTCAGCTCTTATCAGTTGGGAAAAATTCAGAAATCCCAAACCAAACCTAGCTCTGAAACTTCAGCATTATTCCATATACTCAATCCCTGACTAAGGATTCTTACCTTAGATTTAGATTTAGATTTGGGGTCTATGATTGGAAGTGCCTATAAGTTCTTAATTGGTTTGACCCTTATGCTCATGAGTGGAAAACAGGATGTGAGAGAGGAAGACAGAATACAGAGCTCTGAGGAGGATGCTTGCAAGAAGAGTATAAAAGGGGAACATCAAATCTTACTTATATGGAGATTTATGTGAGTAAAGGGATGCATCAGATGTGGTTAAAAGATTGCAGAATACATGTGTCCTCAGATTTACCCACAAGAAATTATTTTAGGAAAATCAACTCAGTTTGCAGGGTATCTGAAAAACAAAAAAACAACCAACCAACCAATCAAAAGACCCACAAAACCCCAAACCAAACAAACAAAAAAGCCCCCAAACCCCAAACCAAAACAAAAAACCACCACAAAATGGTTGAACATACTCTAGGAACTTTTTCTATGTGTCCCACTTGTAATTCCTTCTATGCTCTTTCCAGGGAATGAATTTCATGTCTGAAGTGATTATGCCTGCCAAACTAGGTAAGTAGAACTTTTGTAGCATTAAAACTCTGTTTCATATTAGTAGGAGTATTCAGGGTCAGTAATTTCACCTGAGAGTATTTGGTTTATATATACCTTTACGACTAAAGGTATTATTCCTATTACTCAAGGTCAATTTCACATTATTTCAATTATTATAAGCATTTTTAAAGTTTTAAAATTAATAAAAATGCATGGCATTTGTGTGATTTCTTGTTACTTCCTTTGTTATTTCCACTTTCTTTATGTATGTATGCATTTTGTGTCCAGCTATCTCTTCCTATGTTGTTCCAGTCACTGTTTCCCATCAAAGAATTCCAACACATTCATCAAAAACCTCAAAACTGATGTGTGAGGATCTTAATTAAATGCACTCAGCATGCACACACTGAAAGTAGAGCTTAGGGTATAGACAGGCGTCCCTACTGAAATTCAAAGAAGTACACATGACTCTAAAACTAAACAAACAAACAAGCAATTTAATAACACTACAGTTCTCATGGAGCTCCACACCTTACAGAGATGGTTT